CAAACTCCCGTGGATGGTGATACTAAAATAGGCAGAGGAAAGACATGTTCTAATCCAATGACAAAAAAACAGAAGGGAACCCCATCTTCACCATCACACACAGCAGGAACTCCCAATTTACAGAATCAAAAAACTTATTAAGGTCCACTTTCACAGCCCCTCGAGAAGAAATGTGATTCCTATTATAGTTTTGTACTATCTCTTGGGCCATAAGAATATTTTCAATAATACTTCTCCCCTGAATAAAAGCAGATTGGTTTCTACTAATGATAGAGGGCAGAACTTTCTTCAGTCGGTTAGAAAGAACTTTTGAGATAATTTTGTAGAGGACATTTATACAAGCTATAGGGCGATAGGTAGAAAGGTTATCAGCATTTGGTACTTTAGGGATGAGAGTTAGGGATGCTGAGTTCATACCTCTTGGCAGCTGTCCTGAACTAAAGAAATGTTGAATTCCTTGAGTAATATTTGGTCCCACAACGCCCCAGCATCTTTGAAAGAAAGCAGCATTCCAACCATCAGGTCCTGGGGATTTGGAAGGATCCATTTCAAACAGTGCAGTCTTAACTTCTTGATTAGTGACTCTGTCACACAAGAGCTTCCGATCACCAGCATTTAACCATCCCCTTATGCAGTTCTAAATAAAACTGCTATCAACCTGAACTTCAGAATTTACCACCCCAAATAGCTTCTTATAGAATCTAACAAATTCGTCAGCAATTCCTTGAACCTCTGTTATTTCCTCCCCACCTGAAGCGATAAGTTTCCTTATTTTCTTTTTGGCAGTTCAAATTTTAACAAAGGTATGGAAATGTGAAGAATTTTTTTCTCCTAATCACGGCCAACTGATGCGAGATTTGTGTTTATAAAAAGCTTCCTCAGTTGAAGACAAGTGAAGAAATTCCTTAGTTAGCACTTTGACCTCCTCAAACAGGATCTCAGACGGATGTTCCAAAGCTTGGATATGCTTAGCTTTCATTTCTTCTTTCTTCTCTTTCACTCTTCCAGAAATGTCCGAGTAAGCTTCCTTATTTAGTTTTCTCAGTTCTGTCTTTAATGAAGCCTACTTATTCTTAAATCCAAACAAACCTGAATGAGAAGTGCCCTGAAGCCAACACCCACGCATGAGATTATTAAAAGAGGGATGCTCCAACCACATGTCATAAAACCGAAAAGGTTTCGGGAAACTCTTGGCTGGTACATGGGGATGGATTAGAATCCCACAGTGGTAAGAAAAACCAGGAGGCATAAACTCCACCACACAATCAGAAAATCTGCCAAACCAGTCCACATTCACCATAACCCTGTCTAGCTTCCTGGCAATAGGATTGAACTGTTGCTGATTGGCCCAAGTAAAGACAGGACATGTTGCCTTATGATCAACAACCTCCATCTGCTTCACCCAATCCCTAAAATCTGTCATGCTTGTGGAAATAGTAACCGAATTTGAAGCTTCTGCAAGACACATAATAGCATTAAAATCACCCCCAATCATCCAAGGAAAACCCTGCACCTTCCAATGAACCATGGTTCTATAAGTCAATAAACTTTCCTTTTCATCATTTGATCCATACACAGCAGTGAAGAAGAACCGAGTCCCCTGCTACCCTGCTACTAAACAATGAATGAATTTCTCTTCCTCTTTCAACACTTGCACCTTCATATCATCACTCCACCCAATCCAAATTCTTCCTAATTTATTCTTGGAATAGTTGTCTGTAAGTGATACCCTACAAATTTCTCCCTTATTTCATCAATACTATCTTGTTTTTGTACTCTGGTTTTAAGAAGCGCAAAAAAGTGAAACCTTATGAACTCGTAGATAAGTAAGCACAAAAGTATGCTTCAAGGGGCTATTAAAACCCCTTGTATTCCAAATTAAAGTAGTCATCTATGGGGAGCAGCCACCTTAGTGGCTCCCTTACTTCTAAGACCCTCACGTCCGCTTTGTTTCTTCTGTGGTGCCTGCAACTTTATGTCTCTACCACAAAGTAAATCAAATGCGTTGGAGTGCAAAACTGGTGTAGACTTTCTGGGAACATACTTCGGTTTAGCATCGTTAATGACTTTGTTTAACTCCTGTGGGGAAGGAAGCGCACTCGGGGTGATAGGAGGAATGGAATCTATTATCACTTCTTTACCTTTAACAGATGCTCCATCCCCAACTATTAGAAAAAAATCCTCCTCATTCTCAAGAGTGACAGAATCTTGCAATGGAATAACCTGTGTTTTCTTTAGTCACCATACCCTCTTAGTTGGAAATCCTAGAGGAGGCATCGAACAATCATGACCAAAGACACCACATGCCACACAACAACGAGGTAATCCACAATATTCAACCCCAATAAACATTTCTTCCATATCATCACAGGTAATACTAATCTTGTTTACCAAAGGTTTTTTGGAACTGACCTCCACACAGACCTTTACTGCCCCTATCTTCTTTCTCTGGGAAACTGAATGATCCATACACATAGGCTTACCAATTGAACACGCAATTCTCCCTAGTCCCTCCTGTAAGGCTAGCTCAACAGGAATACCTTATAACTTGACCCACACTGGAATAGCATAATTGTTTATCTCCAGCGCCCTGATTCTAGGAACCCAGCGACACAAACATATAATTTTCTCCCTGTAATGCCATGGACCTCACTCGAATACCCAGCGACAAGTCACCTCCGTTGGAAACCGGAAGAGAACCACTATGTGTTCAAGCATAGAAACCTTCACTTCACCCTCTCTACCCTAGATCCAGTTAGCCCAGAAATGTAGCGCAGAGATTGAAGGCGGATCCACAAGAAATTGCCCAAGCAAGCTGTGGTTCCAATGCTTTGCCCCATCATCAATCACCGACTTAGGTATTCTAAACGATCCATTGACCAATTGTGGCTCATAATAGTCCAAACGATTCTCCTCAGCAACATGAAACAAGGAAGCCCAGGACCGGCCGTCACTGACGGCGCCTTGGGAGGCTTTGTTGGCGATGGCAACCATCGATCAGACCTTACGAGCGCTCAGAGATCACAGAAGAGAGAGAGAGAGAGAGAGAGAGAGAGAGAGAGAGAGAGAGAGAACCTTGTCTTGTCTTGTCTAGATTTTGCATATGGATATAAATTAGGATTATTGATTGATAACGACTTTCAATAATTTTTCATGAACCATGATTCATATATTTTTTGTTAAACAAAAAGTTTATACTTCAATTAGAATTAAGCTTGTAATTTATTATATATATAATTCATGTCTTTTTTTGTTACTCAATTTTGCTTCCCGTTGCATTACCGCCCAATTTCTTCATTCCCGCTCCAAAAGGCCACCCAATTTTTGTTTGGATTGTTCTATATTGCTGCCCAATTTTTGTTTGGATTAATCTAAATTGTTTCCCAAAAATATTGAAATAAGTGAAAGTGTTTTCCTTCTTTGTTTTTAAAGTGGTGTGTTATTTGGTTTGCTAATAGTGTCTATTGGTTGCAAATGTTGATATCTACATTACTACTTTCTAGTGCACCTTACCAATTATGATTAATTACATGATAAGTTTGCAAATCATACAATTTGATTCAACATTTTGACTATTTTTTTTTTAAAAATTAAGTATATATATGAGGTAGAAATAAGTTGGTTAAAAATTGTGAAAAATATTTTAAATTAGTATAGTAAAATGTGAAAGTTGGTAGCGAGTAAGGAGTAAGTAACTCGATGCGGTGTCCCGAACAACCCATAACCCGATCCGCCCGCAACCCACCCGACCCAAAACTCGATGAACCCGTAACCCGATTTGCTACAACCCGATTGAACCCGAACCCGATGAACCCGCAACGCGATTGAACCCTGACCCGATTGAAACCAAACCGATGAACCCGCAACTCGATGAATTCAAAACCCGACTAACCCACAACCCGATTGAACCCGCCCAAACCCGCTTGGTTGACACTTATACCGGCCATACATATATCCCTCCCCACTCTAAATTAAATTCCCCACCTACTTGCTGTTTCTGATTCTTCGTATACGCATGATTATCTTTATTATTATTTTATGTTATCAAGCCACAATCTACATGGGTTTTACTTTTCTCTTAACAGAGGAGAAGCCTTTTCCTCTTCTCCCATCCCCCCGCCTTCCCAAATCAAAGTTGACATTCTCCATCATATACTGCTTCTGCCTGCGCCAATATCCTTCCAATCCTTTGATGTTTCTTTCCTCTTGTTTGTTGACGTTGATCTCTTGCTCCATAAGGTAGCGAGTAAGCTTTTGCGCCTATAGCCTAACTCTTGTTTTTCTTTCTTCCGTTGGGGTTTGATTTCATCTGCGCGGGTGTGCTATTTGGCAGCCTACTGCTGTTGTTTTATCTTAAGGAGTTGAGGTGCTTTTGCCTCTTGGAAAGCTAACCTATTTTCATGTTGAATTTCTCAGATGGTTGAAGAGTGAAGACAGGGCGGGGAGGGTAAAATCTGTTCCGTGTGGGGCGGAGTTTGGAGCAAAAATAGGTGATCCATTACAGATCACGGGGTAGAGCGGGTAATGAATCAAAGAGCGGGACAGGGCATGGGATTGGTAGTATCCGCCCAAAGGGTGCGGATAGTATAACAACAGTCTAATTGTTGTTATTATAACAACAAGGGTAAATAGGGAAATTACAAAAAATAACTAAATTAAAAATCTGAACCCCTCTTCCTCTCCGCTCCTTTTCCACTTTCCGTTTCCATTAGGACTCTTCCGTTGCCGACGCATATCCGAACCATCAGCAACCACCGCTCAATCTCCTCTGCCACCACTCAACCTCCTCCATCCAAGCGGTTTCTCCCTCCTTCTGGTTTCGACGCCGACGCCGACGCCGACGCCAATGTCAATCCCACGATTTCAAAGGCATAAGCATCATCGGATCTTCCTTTCTTCGATTCGTTTCCGTCTTCCCTCAGATTCGCGGCTGTGGCTGTGGAATCGACAATGATTGGGCCAACGACGAGAATATATCAATCTCGACTGGAACAGAATGTTCATAGACTAGGTCGCTGTGGAAGTGGAATCCGGCAGGGAGATTTCAGCTGACGGCGGGTGATGTCGTAGATGACGAGGGCACCGACGGCGCCGCGGTAGTAGGCGGAGGTGACGGCCCCGAAGTGCTCCTGGCCGGCGGTGTCCCAGATCTGGGCTTTGATTTCCTTGCCGTCGATGTCGGCGAGCTGGGTCTGGAACTCGACGCCGATGGTGGCCTTGGAGTTGGCGTCGAACTCGTTACGGGCGAAGCGGGAGAGCAAGTTGGATTTTTCCACAGCCGATTCGTGATTCTCCAGAGGCGATAGCTCGCATAGCGAATGATGTTAGATGAACTTTTCCCAATGGAGGTTTCAGGCTTCAACATTTATCATGCCTACTGTTCCTTTCCCCCTTTCATTTGTGTCTCACCTCAGCCTTTTGGCGAATTAGGAAAAGGGTTACAGTAGCTAGCGGAGATTGGTTGTAATGCAAAGATTATAATAAGCAAACCAAATGCTAATGTTTCCATCTTTCCAAGATACTAAGTCGTGGGGATGAGGAAGAAAAAGCAGATGATGGTGATGAAGAGAGATTAGCAAATAGATCCAAACTGCAGAGGTGGTGAGGAAGAAGCTTCTGGTTAAAAGTCAGGGAATATAAATAAAAGAAGCTTAATTAGTTTAGTTAAGCCAAAACTTAATGTTGGTGTAAGATGAAATATAGTTGGGATGTCGAGTGCTTAAAATTTATTATGGTATGCAGAACATGAGCATTTCAATACTAGAAATCTCATAATGCAACCATAAATAAGGTAAAACAAACCACAAAAAGAACACCATGAACCTAGTAATGCAAAGCACAAGTCTCCTAAAACATACCAGAAATCCCACAAATCATACCATAAATATTTCTAATGGACACCAAAAATCTCATAATGCAAATCACAAACACGATAAAGCAAACCACAAAAACAAACCAGAAACGTCCCAATGCTGACAAAAAATCTATTAAAACTTACCAGAAACACCACAAACCAAACCACAAATATTTTGAAAGCACACCAGAAACCTCATAATGCAAACCACAAACACGTTAAAGCAAACCAAAAAAACAAACCAGAAACGTCCTAATGCAGACCAAAAATCTACTAAAACAAATTAGAAACCCCGCAAAGCAAACCACAGAATTGTAAAAAATACACCAGAAACCTCATAATGCAAACCACAACACACGATAAAGCAAACCACAAAAACAAACCAGAAACGTTCTAATGCAGACCAAAAATCTATTAAAACAAACCAGAAACCACGCAAAGCAAACCACAAAATTTTTTAATGCAAACCAGAAACTTCTCAATACAAACCACAAACACGATAAAGCAAACCAGAAACTTCTTAATGCAAACCACAAACACGATAAAACAAACCACAAAAAGCATACAAAAATATGAGAAACCAAACCATAAATCTCACAATGCAGACCATACATCCGGTGGTCGTTGACCGTTGACCGTTGACCGGTCAACGAATACCGTTGACCGGTCAACAAAGTTCGTTGACCGAACTCCGATGACCGTCAGTGAGCAGATTCCGACGCCGATAGGCATATTCCGGCCCCGATGACTAGATTCCGACGCCGGTAAGCATATTCTGACGCCGGTAAGCATATTCCGGCGACAAATAGCATATTCCGGCGACACAAAAGCATATTCCGGTGATCGGCGACCAGTTTCCGGCGACCGGTGGCCGGATTCCGGCGACCAAAATTTTGGGCCGAAAATAAAAAAATAATTTTTTTATTTTTTTTTATTTTTTTTATTTTTATTTTTTTTATTATTATTTAAACAGATTTTTCATAATGACAATTATACCCCTGCTTTGATTTTACACTAGGTCAACTCATCTAATAAAAAGTCATCACAACCCTAACTTCCCATTGGTTGGAGACTAGTGTTGTTACAATAACAACACAAGGGGTGTTGTTATAGTATCTAGTCCCCCGCCCAAATCTGACCCGTTGCCATTCCTATCCGTGCTAATGTCTCAAATAGTGAAGCTTAGGAGATAATGACCAGAGACCAGACTAGGAGTCTCGAAAAGTGGTCAAGATTATTGACTTGTCTCGAATACCACAATTAATTCCCACGTAAGGTCCAAGTATAAACTTTAGTCGGGTGCAGTACAGGGCAAGTATGTTTAAATATCGACTCGGGCCGGTCCGTATGCCCCTACTTCAGTCATTTGAATCATTATCTAGCGACTCGGTTTTGGTTGAAAAGTTTGCTAATTAAAGTAAAGCAAGGTTAAAGTAAAAGGCTTTGAAAGCTCTTTTGTGAGAAGGATCACTCGGGTGTCGCTTCCCCCTAACTACTACCATGGTATGTGAATCAAAACGATTGCTATGGGCAAGGTGACCACGAACCGCTAGGGGACGCAAATATGGTCGTAGACCACACTCTCGATTGCTAAACCGAGGGATAAATTATAGGTTGTCACTCGGCCCTCTCGGTTTAGGCAATCGATGGTTGACTTACTCCCTCACTCAACCCAATGGTTGTTCGGCTTAATCGCGCTTAACCAAATTGCTTAATCCAACATCGAGGTTTGCCCTAAATTAACCTAGATAGGTGACTTAAAAAGCCCTAAGAATTCCAATTCAATTGAGCCTCCCTTGTAAGGGGGTTTTCCCCCTCTAGTCTAGGTTAAATTGGCCAATTAGATTGCCAAGCACAAACATGCACAATCAACATGAATAATACTTCAATCATTGAATTAAACAACACCCATACACAATCATTCAATTGACATAACAAAAACTACATGGTAGATAGTTAGGGTTTCACAACACCCAAGTGAAAAAGAAATCTACTCCATACTAGAAATGGAGAAACACAAGGGGAAGAGGTAGAAACCATCACGGGGAGGCTTCCAATCTTCTTTGCACTTGTGTTGAACTTCTCTTGGAGAGAATCTTCCCAAATCCACTCTTGGAGCAAAACCCAAGCCTCCTTCTCATTTGGTTCGTCTTTCTCTCTCTATAATATGAAGAAGAAGACTTTCTCACTCTTTTTGGGCTCCCCTCTATCTTCCTTTCAACTCTTCTTTTAAACAGAGATCGTGGTCAGTTCACGGTCTCAGTTCATGCCCGTGAACTCTGAAATGCGTCCGTGAACTCAAGATGGGCGTTGAAACGCACCGCTTCGCTTGCAGTGGTTCACAGGCAACGACTCTAGTTCACGGTCTTAGTGATCGTGAACTCTATTAGCGTCAATAACTTGAGATTTGGCCCTAGACGCATTGTTGTTCACGGGCAACAGCTCCAGTTCACGGTCTAAGCAGACCGTGAACATCCAAGGAAAGCTGTGAACTGCCTTCTTTTCACCTCTTCTCCCGGTTTTCGCTCTTTTTCGTCCAATTTTCTACTCTAGGACCGGTTTCACCTGTTCAATCCCGAATCATGCTAAAACACAAGAAACCTCGCTTAAAACCACCCTTTTACGAGCACACTTGCCACAAACGCCTAAAGAAAACGGGGTAAAATATGTACAATTAGGCCCGAATCAATTATCGCTATCTCAGCATACCCGTTTGATTATCCCGCTCTAAACATGAAACATTTCGATATATAGAAGATGACTTGTTGCATCGTATACAAAATTAAAAATCACAATCCATGTCACTAGTAGCTAAGGAAAAGTTCTTAAATCAATGGCTTTTGCTTCCCTAAGCACGCCATTTTGACTCGTTCCTAACTACACAATTAAAATCTCAACTAGAGCCCAACTCCTTAAATCGTGATGCTAAATCGATGCTTGAGGCTTGTCCCTAATTGTCCTAGAAGTGGTTACCCAATTTGCCCAAGTGGTGGGCTTCTAGGTTAATTTGACCCAAAGACGAGATATGGAAACCAAAACTCAAGAATCATGAAAATAACTCAAGCATTATATTAAAACACACATCCAACACACTTAGAATTCAAATACTAAAATCTATCACATATCTAGGCAAGGGTTCATGATCACCCGTAACTAACATAGGAAAAATAGGCAAGGGTACCTACCGTTCTAAGGTACTACAGCAGGAAGTAAGGTCGTATCACAGAGACTATGTGTACTAGTACTCAGCCTTTTACCATTATCTAGTCAATTGTTTTACTGATTTTGTTTAGATATAAAAGGACATGTGGTAACACCTAAATCGATGTTATTTACACTTCATATTAAGGTTTGTTTCGTGCCAATTCATATGCATAATTGTTTGAACAACGTCAATTGCATCTCTATTTCATTCCTATTTGATTTTGATGTGATTTTAGGGTGCTTTACTGCTTTAGACAATACATGCGAATTAGTTACAAAATAAGGTCGCAAGTGTAGCAATGAGGCAGGAGACTAATGATCGTAGCCTGGAGATGGAGATCACGGCCAAGAAACATGCCTGCGAAGCCAAGCAGAAGATAGCGGCCTGGAAGCCCAAGATCACAACTGCGAATTGGAGGGATCAAGGGACGAACTTCGTGAAAAAGCAACCAAGGAGAAACAAAGAGTTTTCCCAAGCATAACACGAACGAAGCACAAAACTGACTGCGAGGAAGTTTGCTGCCGCGACTCATGGATCGTGACCGTGAATTCGACCCTCGAACACCTCGCCCCCAAAGGTCGAAACGGCAGCACCTCGAGATCGCGGCCTCCGTGAAGAAGATCGCACCCGTGATCTCTACCCTTCCTACCCGTGAACTTCTCTGTCCTCTGATGCCTATAAATAGAAGACCCCTTCCCCCATTCACGGGAACTGATTTTGAAGATAGGAGTTGTGGTTTTAGAGAGAGAGAACAGAGAGAAGCTGAAGGAAGGAGAAGAGGAGAAGAAGGAGAAGGAGCTAGAAGAAATGAGCCACCTTGCTCAACATCAAGTCTTCTTCCACCTCTTCTATTTATCTTCTTCCCTCCTTTATGAAGTAGTCCTCTAATGTACTAAGGGTTCTAAACCCCAAACCCTAGTTTTAGGGTTACTACATATGTATGGATATTTTAGGGTTTTAATGAATGGATGTGCTTCTAGTTGAATTGAATGCTATTCTATCTTCGATTGCATTTGGGTAAGTCGCCCTAATCTTCTCTACTAGCTTACTTGAGCTTCTACGCTGGGTATGGATTTTTAGGGTTAGACATGTATGCGCTATCAAGTAAATTAAGGTTAGATGTATGAATAGAATCCTTTGGTGGTCATGGCGATCGAACCCCTGCCTTAGGAATGCCTTCCTAGATAGAACCCGGAAAAAACCTCGGTATGGATGGTGGGTAGTAG